ATATACGATTACTATATAAAATTGCAACAATTTCATTGGTGCCGACGGGGATCGAACCCGGGTTGCTCGCGTAGTGTGATACTTACGGCGAACGATAACCATCTGAGCTACCACGGCTCTCAATGCAAGTGTTATAAATAAATAAAGAATTACAAAACAGTTTAATTATTTATTAGACGACTCTTGCGGCGGACAAACAAGGTATATTATGTGGGATTTTCATAGGTACCTACTGTTATTACCTAGATACCTACAACCTACAATACAACAAAATGTCACAAAACGTCACCGCGTCGTGGCCACAAAATTGTAAACTTTAGGTAGGTACGTCAGTACTAAGAAAACAATCTTGATGGGTCACTTGTCTTGATAAAAACCTGTGTTTACGTTTAGTGATATTGAGTATATATAAAAAAAAGTAAGAAGACAGGTAAGTATTTTTGAAAAAAATTTATAGGTAAGCAGAACTAATTACAATTATTATCTAAATATTATAAATGCGAAAGTTTGGATATTTGGATGGACGAATGAAAGGATGTATGTTATTCAATCACGCCAGAACCGCTGAAGGGACCTGGATGATATTTTGCTCAGAGATAGGTTATAGTCTGGAATTTTATTTTATTTTATTTTTTAAAAATACATTACCCCCGCACTAGCATTTTCTCCTGTATAGTGGAAGCAGTTTACAAACATCCAGACCCGGAACAACTATTTGTAGGCCATACAAATTTTTTTTTTCTTATTTAAAAAACGTTACACCCACACTAGGAGTTTCTCCTGTATCGTGGAGGCAGTTTACAAACATAAATTGCACAAGGACAAACATCCAGACCCGGAAGAATTATTTGTAGGCCATACAAATACTTGTTCCGTGCGGGATTCGAACCCGCGGCTCCCAGTAATATAAAATATTTCGTTCCCGTGGGATAATTTTTGCAGTTACACACGTTCGAAGCCGAACTCTTGAGTGATCGCTGCATAACCACTCGGAAAAACTAAACATAATAAAATAAGCAATCTATATTAGGTATATAGAGCCACAGAGGTATAATATGAAGCGATAAAGCAGCGCCTAATCATTTCGCGGTTTCACCCGCGTCATCATGTGTCCGAGATGCATGGCATGACATGACACCTAGTTTTATAATTGCAATCAAATATTTTATTTGATAATAATGTATGGAAAAATTGTCATAATTAATGAAGTACTTTTATTTTATCTGTCGGCATACTATGCGCGGTTTTATTCAGTTTTAAAGAAAAACGTACACGATACATGAAAAGTGTGTAGGCAAGAAATGATTCTTGATACATTTGCTATCAACCTCTTATACTCTTATACGGCTCCGTGGCGCAGTGTCTTAGCAATGAGTTGCTGAGCAGGGGGCCGCGGGTTCGAATCCCGCACGGATCAAGTATTTGTATTTGTATGGCCTACAAATAATTGTTCCGGGTCTGGATGTTTGTCCTTGTGCAATTTGTGTTTGTAAACTGCCTCCACGATACACGAGAAAATCCTAGTGTGGGGGTAACGTCTTTTTTTTAAAGAAATAAATAAAATAAAAACTTATTAATCAATTAAACTTTCAAAATACCATAGCAACGTGAAATGAAAGAGTTCAGAATTAACTAATCATTGTTACGCTCACCTGGGAGATAGATAAAAGCACTCAATTAATTTTGAATTTATTTTAGCTACCAGCTGTTCCCCGCGACTTCGTCCGCATTTAGTTTAGGGTGTTAATTTTGTTGCACGGACGCCTAATAATTTTTCTAAAATTTAAGCATTCTAAGTTACTACTTATAACATGAGCTATCTACTAGTGAAAGTCCCGTCAAAATCGGTCCAGCCGTTTTGGAAATTAACCGGAACAAACAGACAGACAGACAGAAAAATGTTAAAAATTGTGTTATAAGTAGCGTATATAATTTCATATGCAATTAGTAAAAAGCTGTTATTTTGACATTATAACAGACACTTCAATTTTATTTATTTGTGTAGATATAGATAATGATTGAACTAACGGCTAACCTAACCTCGCTCATAGAAGCTTTCAATACTGGCTTCTCAGTTCGCACCGGGCTAGGGGTTATGCGTTGTTTGCGCGTCAAGGCCAAGTATTGAATTATTTTAATTTTACATTATCTCAACTATGTACTATATAAACATGGCATAAACAACGAAGTTTATCTTCAAAAAATTGTCTTGATAATGAAGTAACTTTCGTTCGTAAGGATAAATATGCCATGCCTAATAATTAAATTTTCATTTTTTTTTTGTCAAAATAAAAATGCCTAATTGTGGCTTATACGAGTATATAAAAAATAGACATATGGTATCGCGGACTTTTTTTTAGACGGAGTAAAGATCTATATTTTCTGCTTTATTATATTAGTATAAATGTTGCATCGTGTTCGTGTAACTTCGTTTTTGTTCAAACGGTTCTGAATGCCGTACGAACAAGACGTGCGTGAATACTAGTGTCGATATGCTCATCACTGATACTATCTCTGTCGGGCACGATGCCAGGTGAGACAGCGTGCTTTTTGGCCGCGCCCACCAGCGAGTTCGAGCCCGCGACTTGTGCCACCTTAAGAGATCGCGTTAGTTCCCTATTTATAATTTTGTGATAAGTGAATCCGTGACATTGAATGTCGAATTTTGAACTTCTGTCCGTACTGTGTCGGGTATCACGTGTGAGATTCTACGATGAATGTGGAATTAGGCGAGTTTAAGTTAGTTAAATGTACAATGAAGCTAATAGACTGAAATAGTGACAATGAAGAAAAATATGGTCTAGCGGTGGAACCTGCTGGAGCGATGCAGCATTGTGAGGCAGCCTAGAACTCGGCCGCTGCTGGTCGCCTAAGCTGGTCCAGGTCTCAGACATTTACACATCACTAAACACTACTTGCCATGTACCTCACACCCACTTACGGCCTGACCGAGCCTTGGGGCGATCTAAGGGTCGGAAACAGGTACGTACTATATTTCCCTAGCCTTCTCCCATATAGCTTAGTATTATAGGAAATTCTTCCATATGGCCATTGGGCCCGACCTGCGTCTGCCCGTCGAGGAAGCTGCTATGGGCCCCAGCCAAGACGACCTTTGCAGGGGCAGCTGTAGGCCGTAACAGATGTATATAATATAGCTATATACAGCGAATTAGTTCGGATTCAATTCGTAGGAGACGGTAGTAGTTTGTTTAGTTTAGTTTTAGTTTTAGTTTCTTTTAATTTTGTCTTCAATAAAATATCGTCAGAGGGCTCTCTTTTCCTGTACATACTTATCATACTCTTTGGTAACTACATTACAAAAGGCTCCAGTAGACGTTGGTCGAGCGCGCTTAGCGAGCCCGCTCGGCAGATTTTCGTGGTGCCGTTCACACGTTGGCGTGTTTCATTCTGCATTGGTAGCTAGATGATGATGGATCACCATAATAGTGATCGCGGCCTTATTTTTATGTTGCTCATGTTTGGGGTACCATATAACTGATTCATTGTGATAAGAATCAATGAACCTAAATATTTCCTCATTAATCCACGTCGCCATGTTCGTGAAACAATTTTATTAAGCCGACACTAGTCTACTCCGACGCGAAACTATGAACTGAACACTCGGCCAACGTGTGATCGCTATTTGCGGATTGCGCCAAATTTCTTTGATTTGTACACGGAAAACAGACACTATACGGCTTGTCGGCGAGTGTTGGCCACAAACGCCAAATACACACAAAACGGCCCAGTACACGTTGGCACACCCAGTGCACTCGGGGTGCACGTTCGGCCAACGTGTTTTTTTTTTTTTTTTTTTATAGGAGAGGGGGCAAACGAGCATGCGGCTCACCTGATGGTAAGTGACTACCGCCGCCCATGAACAACCGCAACACCAGGAGAATTGCAGATGCGTTGCCGGCCTTTTAAAAAGGAGTAGGCTCTTTTCTTGAAGGTCCCTAAGTCGTATCGGTCCGGAAAAATCGCTGGTGGTAAACTATTCCACAAGGAAGTTGTGCGAGGAAGAAAACATCTTCTAAATCGCACAGTGGTGGACCGCCAATCATCCAGATGGTGTGGATGGTATCGGGAGTTCTGCCGCGATGTGCGTTCGTGAAATTTGGCGGCTGGGATTAATCCGAACAATTCCTCAGAGCACTCCCCATGGTAAATGCGAAAGAAAATGCTAAGAGAAGTGTACTGCTACCTTAACATCATTCATGTAGCAGTACAGTTTGGGTAGGACAAAGTCAACGTTATGTTTATGTACATTGAGCCTAAATAGCGTGAATTTACTATTATTGCGATATCTAGCGTCAAGAAGCAAATTTTTTCTTCAATCTTAAAAGTTTTTCGATTAAGACATAATGATATCTATTAGTAAGAATTAATGGTACGTTTTCTGATAATCGCGGTATAACAGCGACACCTAACGTTGAAAAGCTAAATTTGCTTATTAATTCTAGAAACTTCGTGTATGAAAAGGAACATAATCTCTATTTTTAAGGTCTTACGGTTCGTATTCAAGTGAATGGTGAGTAACTTAAACGGAGAAAAAAATTATGTGTTACCTCATAACTTTTTTCTGAGTGAAACGATTTCGATGATTCTTTTCTTATTGAAAGCTGGAGCTATTAGTGAAATTTGTGGTCCCATATAAATTTGATCAAGGTCTGACCAACAGTTTTTGAGTTATTCTTAATAATTTATATTGAATTCGATTCAAAAATTCACAAAAATCGATTGCACAAAATTTTTAATTTTAAATTATATGCAGCAATGTTTATATTCCTTCGAATATTACCTCAACATCTCTGCTTTGAATTGAGCTCAAGACCTCATAAGATTTCATGTCATCTCCAACAATAGAAAAGTCTTCCGGATTTTCTAAGTATGTGTAATTAATTTTAAAGTTTTCAAATTCACTTAAAAATTTCATTAAGTACTGTTATATTCAGATCAGTTTTCGAAATGAAAATCCAGTTCATATTTACTTAAAAAATTTATTTTCTTGGTCTTCCAGCAACCTTTTTGCTTCCAGCTGTCTGCTTGTTCTTACCGCCGAACGATATAGGTTGTTCTGAAAAGAGAAACAGAGTCAGATTACTCAAAATATAACAATAGTTTAATCATCATAATCATCTTTCGAAATTTCCGACACGCATGCCATTCTGCTTTTTTTTTAAATATATTATGAAAGAGTATGATTCTTAAAGCTAAAATTGTCAGGTTTTTACGGTTAAGATTCTGTAGATACGTTCCGATTAACCCACAATACTCACTCCAGCTTGTGTTAATATTACTTTTAGATTTATCTAGTTTCTTTATGGACTTTTTAAAATTATTTAGATTTTTATTTTTGAACGTTTCGCTTAAAGGATGAAGTGGCAGAACGGATTTCCTAAGAAATTATATTATTGAAATGTGTATGAATAGCGTATATTAATTTCCCTTGTTCTAATTAAGATTTATTTATGAATAATTCATAAATGTTCAATGTTTTATACGTGGTAGAGCCATGCTGCAGCTATATTAGTAGTATAGTTGTAGCACGAATGGGTCGGCTCGACCGAGGAAGGACGACGCTCTCACAGAATACCAGCGTTAAATAGCAGCTTTACACTGCTGTGTTTGTGTATGGTGAGTGTAGAGAACCGGAGACCCTTTTTACTGGAAAAGAGGCATTCCATCTTAGTCCTCACGGGTGACAATGCATCTGCATTTTGATTCGCTAACGAGGATAAATGTAGCTGTCTATGGGCCACAGCAACCACTTACCATCAGGTGGACTGTGTGCTCGTTTGTCACCAAATCCTGTTAACCTTTTGCCTTTTGCCTTTTGCCACCAAAAAATGTTAGTTAACTGATTTGCTGATTCTTAACTGAGAAACTTTATCGAAAGTTGTAAGTGTAAACTAAAGCTGATAATAATCTTTTGTTACGCTAAGACAGTGCGATTTACTATCTAACGCATCATCAGTTACCATCAGGTGGGACTGTGGTCAAGCACTGGCTTATAATAAGTAAAAATCAATTGCGGACTCAAAAACGGCTCGACTGATTTTGATGAAATTGTTTATCTATGTTTGAATGGGTCCCAAGATGGTTTAGATTTACATTTGGACACGGTACGTGGCGTTGTTGTCGAGATACAAAAATCACCCGTGCGAAGCCGGGGCGGATCGTTAGTTCTTAATAATTATTAAAATATAAAGTTTATATCTTTTAAATGATCCAATTATTTAAACTCACCCGGCGGCGGGATCTTTAATGATATATCGTAGGTTTTGCTCTTCGGTCGTTTCGCGGTCGGCTCCAACTTCTCCGGAGTCTCTGTAGGCGTAACGGTCTCCTGCGTGGCGGCCCAGCCGTCCTGGAAATGTGTCATCCAAATTAAGTGTAGCCACATTAATATTTTTTTTCATCAGACCCACGTATGCAACGTATGTTTGTCGTCAGACACTCTTGTCACTTCTTAGCGGACGCAACGTTTTCTGATTCTGAGAGTGAGTTTGAGAATAATTTACTTAGTCTGATGTTCATAAACGAATATATCCTCACCACAATGAAAAAGAAAAAGTTAAAAACCGAAGACATTGGGTCCATGAAATAAATAAACAGAGAAAAGTTTCTAATTTACCATACACTAGTTATGGAGCTGGAAAATGATAACGATTTTTTCTGTATACAATATGTTATTTCCGCAATATATAAAATCTTGTCTCATATCTAATGCATCCTCTACACTACTCGCGAAGTAGATCGAAGTTGGACGAGGCGAATAGTGTAGATAGGTACTTCGATTCGCTTCGTGCAGCCTCGTTTCGCCTCGGGCGACTTCCGATCGCTGTCGGTTTTTTGCGCCAGAGTCAAAGGACTTCGCGAAGTACCCCGAAGTTACACGAAGCGTCTCACTACACCACTCGGCTTGCGTCAGTTATGAATATTTTTTTATGTATAAATATTATATATGTAGCTTTCTGAAGTCGTACTGTTCACACAATTAGGTAGGTACTTATTGCAGCTGCCTCCTGAACGTCATTCATGTTAAGGGTGCGGGAGACTCAAGACGACTGAGCTCTTCGCGAAGTAGCACGAGTGTGTAGTCACGTTCTTCGGACTGCGATCGACTTCGAAGTTACTTCGCGAGTAGTGTAGAGGAGGCATAATCGAAACTAGGATATAAATGCAAAAAAAATATTTTTTTTATTTCGCGCCGCGACCACTAGTTACTAACTACCATGCAGTTAGCAATCTCTTTCCATGCATAAATTCATTTGCTATTTATTTACACTCACACACACGCGTCACAGTCAAAACTACGTAAAGATATTAATTAGAGTGCAAAAGAGTTTACCTCAGGATCCTCAATTTCTGGAGCTATCGGAAGGAACGAGAGCAAATTCTCATCCTCTCCCTCCTCGTCTGAACTGCAGAAGGCCGCCACGGGCTCGCAGGTTGTCACATCCACCTGCAACCATATTATCATGAATGCCAACATTTTTATTGGTTTGAACTTATTTTTTTAATTTATTTGTAACTTTCATTATAGGGGCTATATGGCGTAGTTGCCACGCTTGGTGAGTGGGCATCTGCTTCATCAGGGCATCAGTTTCTTTTTATTGTAGCTTTGCTGTAATCAAAAATATGCTGTTGCCTATCTCCTGGCTCGTAAGAGATTCAGCAAGTCGATGAATGCAGGTGGCTCAGGACCATGTCTTGTGGCATTTCTTTGGAGAGACCAATGTTCAGCAGTGGACTTCTGATGGGCTGTAATGATGGTGATGATGATGATGATGATTCTTTAAATATATCCTTCATTTATTGCCATGTAGTGGCGGCATAAAATAATCGCAAGATGCGACAACGGTCCACTTAAGTAGGAACCACGCTTACTTCGACTTCCTCGTCGTCGCGGCTCTCTCCCGCCTGGTCGACGGATCTGTCCTCATCCTCCACATCGAATTCGCTCTCGCGTTCCTCGTACTCCACATTCTCGTCCAACTCCTTGAAGTCCGGCGCGAACGCGGACCAGTTCTCCACCTGGTTTTGCGCCCAGATCGACACCACGCCTGGAAATACAATGAAACAATAACTATATTGCTCCAATAATATTATTTTTGTTAATGGTTCCAAAAGTAGAGGGACAACGGACTACTTTAACCTAAGTTTAGAAAAATATTGTGTAAAAGTGCTAAACGAACCTACAATCCAGCTGATGGTAAGCGGCTGCTACAGCCCATGGACAACTGTAACCAACTTTAAACAAAGAAAGTTACAGACACATTGCACATTTTGCATTTCGTACATTGCACAGCTACATATGTATTATCTATATTCTATACTGTCATCTGCACATTAATATATTAAAAACAGGTATATAATATAAAATAAACGCCTTTTGCCATTACAGACTATTAAAAAAAGAACATTAGAAATCACACATAATTGACAGCTCATACAATCAATTTGTAGTTATTTAGTTGGCACAACATAATAAAATTCCTTGGCGACAATCTCTATTCCGTGTGACTTTAACAGACTACGAGTATTAAGTGATTGACATTGGCAGTATGAGCGTACATAATGTATGCGTTATTTTACTATGGTTCTTGAAGGTAAGGAGTAAGGTAAGGTAATCCGGTTAATATTAAAAACTACGGAATTGTTTGCATAGATGGATCTGTGATACGATAGCTCTTCATCAGTCAATCAAATAAAGGGTCAAAAGAGCGCCGCTTTATCGACGTCATTTTGACCGTTGACATTATCCTAAATATTTTATGTTGATTTTTCGAAGTGTTCCTAATTATTACAAAAGCTTGTTTGCTATTTTTTTTTAATATATTAGTTATAGTATACGACTTTGTGTTTTTATCTCTGTCCTCCTAGTATTGGTTTTATAGGGCAAAGCTTAAGATGACCAAACCCTTACGTACTTTGTATTTAATGTATCTGTAACACATATTACATATCAGTTTTGGCTTTCTGCACTCTTTCTCCAGATTAACTTTAACTATCCCAAATCTTACACTTATCTGCTTACTATCCACAATATGCTTAAAAGGGGCACAAAGTTTTCTCTTCACGTATTATTGGATAGACTAGCTGTGTGTATAACGGGACCGACCGGCGCTAATGCTGGCGATGATGGGCCTGATGGGATGCCAGACGACGTCAAGCAGCAGCTCCCCCTTGGTGCCGTGCAGGATCTTAACCAGGTTCCCGATGGACTTCTCCCAGATGTACAACGCGTGCTGGCGGGCAGACCCCGCGCAGATGTACTCTCCGTCGCCGGAGAAACAGCACTTCTTCCATGTTGTCCTGCAAACATGTTTAATAACGCATCTAACTTTTATTCAAATCCCAGACGAACACTGTTTTTTTTGAGATTGCACAGATCTCAGGTTAGAATTTCCAACACATAAAATGGAGATGATATTTTACAGGTAACAAGGTGTTCCATCTTAGTCCTTATGGATGATAAGTGATAACGCATTTGATTTTTAATGTAAATGTAGGTATCTATGGTCCACAGCATTCACATACCATCAGAACGACTATGTGCTTGTTCATTATTTCTTACTTGTATAAAAAATTGTAATTTTGTGTGTAAATTTTATTGCAGGTCATTCTTAAGTTACAAACATAGCGTCACGTCTGCTATCAACGAGAGGGTAGGCGGAGTCTAAAGAGCGGCGAGCTACAAGGACCATATTTAGCCAAAAATTATGGGTTTAGACAATGGATGGAAGATTGTGAAAGAATCGATAGGTGTTCTCAGTTTGTAAGGATTTTTAACTTAAAAATCATTCAACAAAAATTAAAAAAAATATAATGATTGAAAAAATTACGATGTTAAAAACTAGGTAGGTTTTAATTAATTGAAAGTACAGCATAAATCTCACGGTTCCTTCACATATCCACGCATACATGCCCATCTTCAATATATCGCCAATTTGCTCAATATACTTCCGTCTAGCCGACTATGCCACTCACTTCTGCTGCATAAATATCCTTTGTCACTCTTTCCTCATTCAATCTTTCTACATGTCGAAACTACCAAAGCATTACAACTGGTCACAACATCTTGCAAACCGCGATTTTCTCTTATCACACAATATCTCATCCTATCATAAAGAATCACCTCAAACATACTAATCAATGTCTCCATTTCTGCTGCATTAATTTTACTGTAATAAGAAACATTAACTATTCATACAACACCTAACTTTCACTTCATCATACAATAAGGTAAGTAACAAACACAGCATTATGACTTCCTACAATAGAGTGAAGAAACCCATACACTAAATGTTCTGCATTCAGTCTCCATTTCATATCCTCGTCATGTCTAATCCCTAATAATCACACATCCACAATATAAAATACACTTGCTCAACCAATTCCCCTTTCATTCTTAATTCATTTATCGTTTGTTTATCTCTTTTTTGGGGGGGGGGGGGGGGGGGATTTTTTTACTGAAACGACATGCCAGTCCTATCATACTTTATACTAATTACTGCTAGCACTATAAAATAAAATAAGAAAGTATAACGGTGGGTACTAATTGATTAATAAACTTAAAATAAACTTTCACTTACACTGAAGTAAAGTAAAGCAAAAAGTAAAGCTGCAGCCTATTTACGTCCCACTGCTGGGCACAGGCCTCCTCTCATTTCTGAGAGGGTTTTAGGGCAAGGAAATGTCCGCTGCGCTGCCCCAATGCGTGTTGGCGAACTTCACATGTCTTCGAAATATTTTTTTTCTCTTATTTCTCAGACATGCAGGTTTTCTCACGATGTTTTCCTTCACCGCCGAGCACGCGGTAAATCAGCACTTAACATTGCAATTAACAATTTCATTGGTGCCGGCGGGGAACGAACCCGGGTTGCTCGAGTACTGTGAAACTTGCAGCGAGCGTCAACCAACTGAGCTACCACGGCTCTTTACGGCTCTTTACACTGAAGATGTAAAGATAATTATATATCGTTTGAATTTCTTCACTTTCAAATAACTAACACTATACCATTATACAGCCTTCAAGCATCATGTTGCTGTCGTAAGAGGCACCAAAAGGAAATGCAACAAAAGATGGGCAGCAGCACCTTCATTATGAGGCAATCTATAGGCAATATATAGACTTTAAGCTGTAAATGTAACAGTATAGAACTCATTTCACATTATACTAATACTAACATCACTCACTTATTGACAAGGTCCTGCAACTTCTGTATAGGCTCGGGTTCTCCGTTTACACCGCATTTCAATACTGTATTAGTGTCATACACCCTGATAACTCTGTCTGATGTATTTACGAGGAAACAGCTGAAATATTAAACAAAAACATTTTCCTTTAAGACCTATATTTTTGTTAAGTGTAGGGTGGCCCCATACTAGATGCAGTGACAATCTGATAAGACATGCAGGAAGTTGATTCAGAATCATGTTGTGGCATTCGATTGGGGAGGCCTACGTTTGGCAGTAGACTTGTTAAGGGTGATGATGCTTCCGAAGCCGGGTAGGACGAAAAACGCAAATCGTCCCATCCCGTCTATGTATATGTATGTTATAATTTTTTTAAATTAGAATAAGGGTGACAAACGACCATACAGCCCAATATACGCAAGGTGCACAATTAGGTGAACTGCCGCATTGTATACATATCAACTTAAAAATAGATCAATGTAGTACTCACTCTCCTCTTCTGGCAAATTCAATGCTCTTGATGCCAGTGGTGCTTGACGTGCCAACAGTGATTTTAAAACTCGCCTTTATGACAAGAGTCTGAGAGTCTAGAATTAAAATTTTTCCTTTAGCATTTCCAGTGTATACATAGTCGCCTCTTCGGTCAAAGGATGCTATCACATTAATATCACCCTAAAAAAAATGTAAGTTATATATTCTTTACAATAACTCATGATATTAAAAGCAATAAATAATTTAAAATCATGCATGAACATGATGAACATGAAATTCCTTTCGTAGTATATTATTATTGATAAACTGGGACTGACATACCCTAAGCGGTAAATGTCCCTTAAATTATAATAGAATAAAAAAAAAATATTGATAAAAGTATTATATTATTGCTTAACAAATACAAATAAGTGAATTACTAGCGTCTAATAAAATGAAGCGTGGATATTATTCCGTCTCGCTTCCTTACAGCCGCCACGGCCGTCGACACTACGTAGAAGGTGTCGTGACGGAAAAGTCTTATACTTTTTCTCGCCTAGCCCTCATCCGCCAAATTAGTACCGTCGGATAAGAAACTTCATTCCAACAAATATAATATGACTGTTTGTTGTATTTCTTCTATTATATATACTACGTACGTATATTTCTTATTGAAAATAACTTATGAGATAACTATAAATGATTAGTTTTTATTTATTTAAAAAAAAAGGTTGCCTCCACACTGGGATCGTCTCCTGTATCGTAGAGGCAGTTTACATACATAAATTGCACAAGGACAAATATCTAGATCCAGAACTAATTATTTGCTGGCCACACAAATACTTGTTCCGTGCGGGGTTCGAACCCGCGGCCCTTAGCGCGGCAACTCATTGCTATGCCACTGCGCTACGAAGCCGTCACATCGCAAACATATTATTTCTGAATTAAGTGTTGTAATAGATAGGTATAGGAAAGGTAAGGGACCACTGAAAACATCAATAACCAGAGATAATATCTTACAGATCGAATTTCGGTCATAGCGGCCAGTCTCAATTCCATTGACCATAGACTAGCCATCTGCATAGGACAGGATTACAGTGCATCAGTGTGCGCACAAGCACAGGTGCACTCTCTATTCCCACACTCTGACCCTGGATATGATTCAAGGACCACATGACTAGCAATGACAACTAACTACTAGACCAATGAAATAACCAGAGACTAACTAATTGAATATTTGTGATTTAAATAATTTATTAAAATATGGCTAAATAACCATGTAACGGTCATTTATTCACACTTATTTTGATTATAAACACAGAACATTCTTTCATGCACTTGTATCCTCCTTCTTTAATAGGATTTAAGGCTGTTTTATCGTGTGTTTATTCACTGTGGATTTATTTAATGAAATTATTCCATTTATACTGATTTTTTTTATATGATAAGGGTGACAAACGAGCACACAGTCCACCTGATGATAAGTGGTTGCTGTGGCCCATAGACATCTACATCTATCCTCGATTACGAATCAAAATGCAAATGCGTTGTCACCCGTGAGGACTAAAATGGCATTGGCAATGGCATTTCCAGTAAAAAGGGTCTTCGGTTCTCTACACCCACCATTGGAAACACAGCAGTGTTAAGCTGCTATTTTACGCTGGTATTCTGTGAGAGCGTGGTCCTTCCCCGGCCGAGCCGACCCATTGGTGCTGCAACTATACTACTAATATAGCTGCAGTATGGCTCCACCACGTACAAAAAAATTAAATTGAATCGCATAGATCATATGATGCCAACTTTGCATCAAATCAAATGATGAAGTTAGTTTTCAAAAATTCTTTGGCTCTATACACTTCCATTGTTATACTATTTAACCAGTGCAAATATCATTAATATATAGATGAATAGTGCCCTATTTTAAATATTGAATAACATTATACCCACAAGGACTTACATCATCGTCAATAGGCAAAATTTTGTGTTCACCATCTGTGTCAACTAGCAACGCTGCATGCCTCATTGGACAAACGAGGAATCTTTTGTCATTCCTTGGGTCAAATTGCACCCTCACTATGGGAGTTGGAAACCTGTAGCGTTGCTCACATTCCCCTGACAACACATCCCATATGCACACATTGTGGTCTGTTGAAGCAGATAACAGCTGAAAATTGTAAATAAAAGTTAGAAACCAAAAATTACACAGATAAAATAATTCCACGCGGGCGAAGTCGCGGGGGACAGCTAGTAATGGCATAAAATCTTTTATATTTAAAATGATGAATACCTAATTTAAGTGTTTTAAGAAAGGAAATATCTATTATTGTAGTTAAGAAATTAGCGAGATCACTTTTAAGGAAAATGTGTGCCAAATTAAAGACTAGCTGTGCCCCTTATTTAAGAAATCACTAATTGATTTATAGATTTATAATACTGATAATTCAGTATAGATTTTCATGTGGTATTAAAAGATATTGGTTCTTTCGGTTCGTCTTCGGCTAGGGTAATGCGTCGTTCGCGCGCAGAGCTGAGTGTTGAATTATTTTAATTTTTCATTATCTCTTAAACTATGTCTTAATAAAATGCTATAAAGAGCAAAGTTTACTGTCTTACAAAATTGTCTTGAAGATGAAGTAACTTATTACGGATTAATATGGCATGTATAATAATAACGCTCATAAATCACTTTTTAATTTTTAATAATTTTTCGTCACAAGATACTTTATTGTGGCTTATATTCAGAAATAGGCATACGATATCGCGGACTTTTTTTAGATGAAGTAAAGACCAATGTTTTGGTAGAACATTGTCTTTACGCATCACTAACCATTACGCCAGCGCATGTGGATAAAGCAGTTCAGGAGCGCTTTTTCTTCTGACTTGCTTAACAAAAATCAATATAAGGTGCAAATACAAAGATAAGGTGTTGTAATTAGATTTTACTATGTAACAACGCGTGACAATTTGCGGGGTGTTAAGCCCCGCCCACTTAACTGATTTCCATCTACCGTTAAATAGTAAAACTACTCGCATCGTTCCATAACGATGTTGCAATGGAGTTTAGTTACCTTGACGACAGATGGCAGCCTGTTTACAAAATGACTATAAAAACTATAAAAATAATATTTTGGCGATTAAAAATTCTTTAGGACTGAATGCAAAACAAATTTCAGCACCTTCGTATGATTATTTTACCAATACTGAGCTCTACGTACCTTTATATTTTTATTTCCCATGGCACAAAGTGTCACCATCTAGCGTCGAATATATTATATTATTATATACCTAGTCAGGTCATAAGTATTGTCACACAGTAAAAACTTTTCTTTTAGAATGCTGGCCACAAAAAAAGTTTATTGAATTCGAATTTCGAATTATTCATGAAAATAAAACTGTATACTTATTAGAATTTTACACATTTTTAAATATGGAGTGGACGCTTAAAGAAGACCGTATTGCATTTATTGCGTTGCATCGTTGCGGTTACGCGCCATTTCAAATTTTTGACATACTGAAAAATTTGAATATAACCAAAAAATTCGTTTATCGTACCATCAAACGATACAATGAAGACTCTAGTGTAGATGAAAGGTCAAGAAGTGGTCGCCCTCGGTCTGTTAGGACTCCAGCAGTGATAAAAGCTGTGAAGGCGCGAATTCAAAGAAATCCCAAACGTAAGCAGAAACTGTTGGCCCTTCAGATGGCGTTAAGCAGAACCACGGTGAAAAGGGTGTTAAATGAAGACTTAGGGCTTCGGGCATATCGAAGAAAAACAGGACATCGTTTGAATGCTCGTCTAATGGACCTGAGACTGAAGCAACGGCGGATCCAAGGGGGGGGGTCATGGGGGTCATGACCCCCCCCTGAGCTGGTTCCAGGACTTAGGTGGACCACTAATTGAACATAATGATTTTATTTATACATTTTGTCACCATACAGATTTTATGTAACTACATACCTTCAATATTTAATTAATTTAATATAATATAATAACTTTGTATGATTGCAAACGTTTGGGAACGAACGCATCGAATATATGAATTTTACCGCGCCACACTTGCGCGCGCTTGTCGACTGCGTAACGTCTAGCTAGACCTAACCTCAATCGGAATTGAAACGACTAAATTTCAACATATCATAACATAGTTCTAAGTTAAAAAACTAAAATTTCTTTCTACCTATAATGTGTTTGTAAGTGTACCTTTATAAGTAGGTATTCTTAAAAATTGTTGCTGCAAATTCATTAATTACAAGAAATGGTAAGTAATCAGTTTCTCATTATTCCAGTGCGTGTGTTTTAACTTAAATGTTATTGTTGTTAATGTTCATAAAGTACCTCATAGGTAGATATGTGGGTACCTACTTACTGAAAGAGTGCTGCGTGACTTATGTACCTACCTATAGGTATATTTTTTTTTTGGACGAGGGAGATTGAAGAGCATCAAGCTTACTGACCTAACCTAAAATCTTAGATAAATTCACACAATGAAATCAAGTGTATCGTCGTGACCACACTGATTTTAATGCTCTTTAAAAATAAAATAAGAGAGCAACTAACAGAATGAATATAACATGCATAAACTTATAATCTTGCTTAAAATTTTTAAAAGCACCTATCGAAAACTTTGATGTAAAGTATTGCGTTATATTTATATATATTAAGTTATAAATTCTTAGTTTATGCACTACAGTCACAGTCACTTACTTTTTATTTTTCAGGTACGAGTACTACTGTATCTTTAAGCAGAATACTGCAATCGAACTCAATTGATTTAAAAAAAAACTACGGACGTTATTAATGATACTTTAAGTGTTTTACAAAATAAAATAGAAAATAGGGACGTAATCTACCGCCAGTTTTTGAAGTGGCTAAAGAAGTAGCTGAGGAGCTAGATGTATAAATTAAATGCCCCAGAATAGTATCAAAACAAATACATAGGGCCAATAACCAACCTGCTCAATCTGCTGAAGAGTATTTCCGCAGAGCTAAATACATCCCTCTTCTAGATTCAATAATAAGTGATCTCCAGGACCGCCTATCTCCTCATGTACTTAATTTGTTTCAGCTAAGCGTTTTCATACCAAAAAGCGAATATAGTAATGAAGACATTGAAACTGTGAAACAACTAGCTACCAACTATACATTATTACTAGATAACACTCCAGTTTCTGTCATTGTAAATACGGAGCTAGGACATACCGCAGTCGATTTCTGATCTTATTTTAAATTGTGACATCGATATTATGTATCCTAATATAAAAAAAAAATATGTATTATGGCTACACTACCTGTCAGTGTAGTGGCAGCAGAAAGGCCTTTCTCTACGTTGCGTAGAGTTAAATCGTGGTTAGATCTTCAATGGTTGAAGATCGCCTAACCGGACTGCCACTACTCCACGTTTATAAAAACGTACCCATTGACGTAAATGACGTAATAACGCGTTTCGGGAGAAGACGTAAAAGAAAAATTGATTTTGTTATTTAATTATATGTATTTTGTCTGTTTCTATTTTGGTTGCTGGAAACCCTTGTCGTACCACCTCTTCACTTTTGCGGAGTTTTGCGTCATACCCCTCGACATACCTCTCTCTAGCTGTTATGACAAATCATTCACCACCGGTTATGGAATATAAATAGGCTGCCTCATTCCGTGCATGATAGTGCTTCTCTAGATGTCTTCAAGAGAAGATGGCAATATGTACGTGTATATGTACAAGTTATTATGCGTTAAGTGTTTCAAGTGTACAATAAAGAATAAATATTTTTAAGTACAGTGCTTACGTACATTAATAAAAAACCTAATTTTTACTTGTATCTATTGTTATCAAAATTAAATTATAAGTTCTTGACTTGACCACGACTATGTGAACCCGTCCTGGCGCCAAAGCTGGATCCGCCCTTGAACTGAAGAGATGCCGCGCTTTGTGGAAGCGGTACGCGGGAAAAAAATATCGGGAAATTCTTTTTTCTGATGAAAAAATTTTTACCGTAGAAGAGAGCTACAACAAACAAAATGATAAGGTGTACGCACACAGTAGTGAAGAAGCGAGCAACCGTATTCCGCGTGTCCAACGAGGTCATTTTCCATCCTCGCTCATGGTATGGTTGGGAGTTTCTTATTGGGGCTTAACAGAGGTACATTTTTGTGAGAAAGGTGTAAAAACGAATGCAGTTGTGTAAAAAAATACAGTCTTGACGAACCTTGTGGAACCTGTTTCTCATACCATGTTCAATAACAGGCACTGAGTATTCCAACAAGATTCGGCGCCAGCTCATAGTGCGAAGAGCACACAAGACTGGCTATTATCTATATCTATACAAATGAATAAAATTGAAGTGTCTGTTTGCAATATCAAAATTACAGTTGTTTACTAACTGCATATGAAAGTAAATACGGTACTTATAACTAAAATACAATTTTTAAAATTTTTGTCTCTGTCTGTCTGTTTGTTCCGGCTAATCCCAGAAACGGCTGGACCGATTTTGACGGGACTTTCACTGGCAGATAGCTGATTTTATAAGGAGTAACTTAGGCTACTTTTATTTTAGTAAAAGAATTAGGGTTTCGCGGAAAAACATAAAAACCCTAACACGCGATCGAAGTCGCGAGGAAAATTAATATAAGGGGGGGGGGGGGGGATAAATTAGGTATAAAATTACTTATAAATGAAATATGGTGCCATCCATAGCATCAGAGAATCTATCTGAGTAGTTTAAAACACAACACTTCATCCTTTTCTTCTTAATACTACGAAAATACTCCGATTTGCTTTTCAACACTAAACGCACAGGACGAACGCTGACAGTATACTAACTAAAGCCACGCCCACCGTGATGACGTCAGGACCTAGTTAGAATCACAGTACACAGTTGCTTAGGCCATCTCCCTTTTGTATTTGCTCCATTGGTGTTGCTTAATGCTTAATAATATATATAAATAAAAGCCTATAATATTCTATTTTTTTTTATTTATTTCGAAACCAACAGCGTTCTAAATAGTTAACATTAAACAATATTATTCTTATAATAAAGGCCAATAACAGGTTTCCTTTAATTACTAAGGCATAACATACTACGGTCGTAATGATTAGTATCAGTTGGTATACACTCAATTTTACACTTATAACATTAAATGTTTGCATCTGTTCCCTCAGGCAATATGCACATTTGACAAGTCTCATACACAAATTCATAAACATATGTACATGCACACTAATAAAATCAGTAACAGCACACACTGCTCAACGGTACCAAACAAATAAACACGAATACACACATGTTACTTTTTTATACACAAGATTAGCAGTATATTATTATTATTTTTACTCTACTATAAATTATGTTATTTTATTTAGGTTCTAGCTTTAACTTTAAGATTTTCAATAGCTAAGTGCCTAAAAGCGTTCTTACTGTAGTTAAAGATATCAATTTCTCTAAAGAATTCATTGTAAACGCTGGGTAGACGCGAGAGGGGTGCATTACGCATTATTATACTAATATTCCTTATGAATCTGGCTATCACTTACAAAAACATTTTTCAAATCGGACTTGTAGTTCCAGAGATTAGCATGATTAAACAAACACAAAAACAAGCAAACAAAAAATTATGTAGTCAAATTCGAAATTGACTGAGGACGTTTTTAAAAAGACTTTATTTTAAACTTATTACTATTAATGTGCGATACATTACTTATATACTACTTAATTAATCCGCGATGGATTCTAACTTAAAGCTACATGTCCGATACATGTGAGAGCCTAACTATGACTATCCTAATTCTTATTCTAGATGTTTAAGCTAAGGAGTAGTTATCAGTATTCACACGAAAGACCAAATACTTTTTTTTTAATTATAAAGACTAACATTTCTATAGAAACATTTATGTAATGTGAAAAATAATATACGATGTAAGTAAATACATTGTAATGATATCGTAATTTTTATAGTCAAATAATCATCTTACTTATTTGATCATTAGATATAATTTAGCTTTAAACTGAAAACCTAGATACTAAGTTTTAAGACACTACTAAAAAATAGTATATTATATTCAAATTAAATTAAAAAAAAATAAAAACTTAAAAAAAGGTTTTATTCATAAACACAGTCTTACAAATACATATACCATCGTAGACTTCATCTACGAGGGCTGCACTAAAAGTATCGGAAATGGAATATTTCCACTGTTCCTGTCATATTAATTTTTTTTTAATTGAAAAGTCCTTGGTTTTAAAAATCGAATACCATGTATTTATTTAAAAGAAGATTCTCGGTCTTGTCACAAGGTTTTGTCAAACTTGTTTAGTCGCTGAGAAAATGGAATTGACTCGAGAAAATTCAAGAGCGATGATTTATTATGACTTTCGAAGTGGTTTAACACAAAAACAGTGTGTTGACCGGATGATTTCTGCATTTGGTGATGAAGCCCCATCCAAAACCACAATTTATCGCTGGTTTGCTGAATTTCAACGTGGGCGTGTCAAGTTCAGTGATGATCCCCGTCAAGGTCGTCCAAAAACTGCAGTCACCCAAGAAAACGTTGATGCTGTGCGTAAGCTGATTGAGGAAGATCGACATATGACATACTGCGAAATTCAGGCAACTTTAGACATTTGCATGAGTCAAATACAAATAATTTTTCATGAACAATTAGGTGTAAAAAAGTTGTTTTCCCGATGGATACCGCATTCGCTCTGTGAAGAGCAAACAGCGGCTCGCGTTACTTGGTGCGTCAGAACTCTCGAAAGATTCCACGCAGGATCCTCAAATGCTGTATACAACATCGTATCAGGTGACGAATCCTGGATATACGCGTACGAACCCTAAACAAAAAACCAGTCACGAGTTTGGGTGTTCGAAAATGAGTTAAAGCCAACAAAAATTTTTCGTTCACGGAGTGTTGCAAAAAAAATGGTGTCCACGTTTGTCTCCAAAACCGGCCATGTTACGACTATTCCTCTTGAGGGACAAAGAACGGTTAATGCAGAATGGTATGCTAGCATTTGTTTGCCACAGGTCGTTTCTGAACTCCGTAAAGAGAACTGCAACTGCCGCATCATCCTCCATCACGACAATGCGAGTTTTCACACCGCACACAGAACAAAAGAATTTTTAGAGCAAGAAAACATAGAGTTATTAGACCAACCGCCGTACAGCCCCGACCTAAGCCCTAATGATTTCTATACTTTCCCTAAAATAAAGAATAAATTGCGTGGACAGAGATTTTCATCACTGAAGAAGCTGTGGACGCCTACAAAACGGCCATTTTGGAGACCCCAACTTCATTTTGGGTTTTGGATTATTTCAGTTGCATCGTATGGAAAAATGTGTCAAATTTCGCGGAGAATACTTCGAAAAGCAATAAATACATTTTTAAATAGTAATGTTGTGTCACTTCCTTGATTCACGAAATTTTCAGTGCCGCCCTCGTATTGAACGCATAATGCGCCCGTATCAGAAGTAAGCCGCCCTTCCATATCATAAAATTTACTAAAGCCAGAACCGCTTGAACTAAATTTAAAGAAAGTAAAAATAGTATGTGTAGGGTGTGAGTATGTAGTGAATGTGTAGTGTGTGTGTAATATGTGTGTAGTGTATGTGCGTGTAATGTGTTGTGTAAAAGTTTTCATACGTTTCCCTCTGCACAGCCCTACGACATAAAAGGTCTTGAGATCAGCGTTAAGCCACTGAGCAGAGGTGGTAGTTACATATACAAGTAGATGGAGGTTATGATGTGTGTATGTATGTAATGAATGAGTGATTTACACATAAATATCCTCATATAAAATTCTAATTTTAACAGGTTTTCAACTTCAATAAACTCTAATGTCTTCAGCCATTCAGTGAGTTTTAGTTTACAATTTCTATAAGTCATAGGATATATATCTAGTATTTTATTTATTTTATTATATAAATGAGACGAGATGTTTTGTACTGATTGCGAGGTGACATGATATATTTATTTTCGTTTATTAATTAATAATGGTGACAACCATCCAATTATCACTATTTTAATAGGCTTCTGACAAAATTCTTTAATTTAACTAGTTTTTACAGATATAACATGGAAAGTATTCTTAAAAAAAAATCGATTTATTTGTCTTCTTTCTTTTGGCTAATCTATAAACAATTCTGCCATTAACATATCAGTTATGGAGGTCACAGCAATTTATTATGTACACAAAATTAAATGTCATGTATTAGTAAGACTCTTACTCAAAAATAGAAACAAAAGATTAAATCAAAAACCAGTCTATTATTTACTTATAAAAATAAAAGAACTTGTTAATCTTCAGAATGGGCTACAGATAAGAGCCATTATTGTTTTTTTGCAAGTTTTACTCTGGTGTTATAACAATGAAAACGTAGTGATGATTTTATAAAACCTAATAACACCCTCAGATTTGAAAATCTGTTAAGGAAACAGGTCAGAGACAGGCTTACCTGTGAAATATTTAGCCTCCTGGTAATATTTGGTAAAAAGAATGGAATTATAACATAGAATAAAATATTTTTTTATTCAATATATATCACATGTATGTAATTTTTATTGAAAGTCATTTTTTACTTTTTTTATAGGAGAGGGGGCAAACGAGCACGCGGCTCACCTGATTGTAAGCGACTACCGCCGCCCACGTACAACCGCAACACCAGGGGAATTGCAGATGCGTTGCCGGCCTTTTAAAAAGGAGTAGGCTCTTTTCTTGAAGGTCCCTAAGTCGTATCGGTCCGGAAAAATCGCTGGTGGTAAACTATTCCACAAGGAAGTTGTGCGAGGAAGAAAACATCTTCTAAATCGCACAGTGGTGGACCGCCAATCATCCAGATGGTGTGGATGGTATCGGGACTTCTGCCGCGATGTGCGTTCGTGAAATTTGGCGGCTGGGATTAATCCGAACAATTCCTCAGAGCACTCCCCGTGGTAAATGCGAAAGAAAATGCAAAGAGATGCAACATCTCTTCGCAGCGCCAATGAGTCAAGCCGATCGGAAAGGACACGGTCGTCGACGATTCGAGCCGCTCTGCGCTGGATGCGGTCAAGTGGAAGGAGCTGGCACTGGGAAGCCCCTGCCCAGAGATGGGAACAGTATTCCATGTGAGGCCGAACCTGCGCCTTGTAAAGTTGCAGGCGTTGAGCCGGCATGAAATACTGTCCCGCTCTGCTGAGCACGCCAAGCTTTTTAGAGGCCAATTTGGCCTTCTCTTCCAAGTAACCACGAAACTGCACGTCACTCGATATGTTGACGCCGAGGATTCCGATACTGGCTGAGGCAACAAGGGGAGTACCTTGAAACTGAGGAGATACGACAAAGGGGTTCTATTTAGCGGTAAACGCGCAAACTTGTGTCTTCTGAGGATTAAACTGGACTAGATTTAGTCGCCCCCAATCCGAGACTTTGTCCAACAAAGACTCGACTTCAGACACAAGTTTGTTCCGGTACTCGGTGACGTTTTCCCGAGAAATATTGGCACAGCCGGTGTATAGAGCATCACCAGTGCTGTCATCCGCATAGCAATGAATGCTACCGGCTTGCAACATATCATTGATATGCAGAAGAAACAGCGTTGGTAGGCTTGTAGTCGGAGCATGCACCGTCTACATCGACCTTGATGCTCCGATCTGCAAGAAAGCTGGTGATCCAATTGCATAATTTCTCGGGAAGCCGATAGGAAGGGAGCTTCGAAAGAAGTGCTTTGTGCCAAACTCGATCGAAGGCCTTCGCAATGTCCAAACTAACGGCCAATGCCTCCCCCTTGGACTCAACTGCCTCCGCCCATCTATGAGTTAAGTAGACCAGAAGATCACCAGCTGATCGACCCCGACGAAAACCGTATTGGCGGTCACTAATCAGCTGGTGATCCTCAAGGTACCGCATGAGGTGGCAGTTTATAACGGATTCCATTATTTTGGAGAACAAGGAGGTGATGGCGATAGGCCTGTAGTTGGACGGGTCTGAGCGGTCGCCTTTTTTAGGGATCGGGTGGACAAAAGCTGTCTTCCATGATTTCGGGACTACGCCTAGGGAGTAGGAGTACCGGAAAAGACGCGTTAGAACCGGTGCCAACTCCGGAGCACACGTCCTCAGCACAATTGGGGGGATTCCGTCAGGCCCACTCGACTTGTGGATATCAAGGGAGACTCTGCGAACCGAGCGCTGTGAGAACCGCACATCCAGCAAGGAGCACTCACACCGCGGGATGGTCGGCGGTATGTTCCCCCCGTCATCAACAGTCGAGTTGGACGCAAAAAGGGAGCCTAAAAGGTCGGCTTTCTCTTTTGCGTCGTGGGCCAGTGAGTCGTCCTCCCTGTGCAGAGATGGTAGTGATGGCTTACAGAAATTCCCTTGGACAGCCTTGGCGAGAGACCAGAATGCACGAGTTCCCGAAGGAAGGCGAACTAGTTTTTCGCCAATTCTGCCTATGTGCTCTGACTTTGCCTAGGCAATAACTCTTTTGAAGGACCTGGAGGCGAAGTTATACTTCTTTTTAAGTATGCTGGTGTTTACATCCCGAGTCGCCGAAGCCGCAGCCCAGGCTTGATAACACTCCTGCTTACTGCGTAATGCAGTCTTACAGAAGCGACCAAACCAAGGCTGAGATCTGCCTCTGATGGGTACCACAGATGATGGAATAAATAGTTCCATTGCCTGTAGCACCACATCAGTGACAGAGTCAGCAACAGCGCTGGGATCATCCGGCGAGAAGCAAACCCGCCCCCATGGGTAGGAAGCAAAGAAAGACCGCATTCCGTCCCAATCCGCCGACCTTTAATGCCAAACACGGCGGCAACCTGCAGAACGCAACCGCGAGGGGAGCGTGAGTGGCCCCATACTCCGGATCAGACAATGGTCCGAAGAGCCAAGAGGGGCATCGACGGAAACCTGATATCCGTCCGGATGAGAGGTCAGCAGAAGGTCCAACAGGGAAGGTGTATGATCCTCAACATCTGGAATCCGCGTAGACGATGTAACCAGTTGTGTCAGACCATATGCCAAGGCAAAGTCATAAACAGATCTCCCCGCATGATCGGTCAAACGTGAACCGAGCCATTCGGTGTGGTGGGCGTTAAAATCGCCAAGGATCACGATCTCTGCGGATGGGACCTGTTGTAGCAAGGAATCTGTAGCCATTTGGACGTGGTCGATGAGTCGATCTGTTTCGGCATTACCGCTATGGGACCTATAGAGACACACGTAGACGCGCGGATGGTCGTCGCTGTCTACGCGTAGCCAAAGGATGGACAGGTCCGAACCTTCAAGACTGCCGAGGCGTCGAGAACAGATGTCCTCTCTGACATACACGCAAACTCCAGCCTGAGGCACAAAGGAGTGCTCCAATTTGTACCCCGGGTAGGAGAGATACAAAGTATCAGCCAGAGAGGACACCTGCGTCAGAAAGAGCAAGGCCGACTCGCCGTCTCGAGATGGTAGTGGACGGCGTTTAGGTTCGAGTGAAGTCTCCTGATGTTGCAGAAATTCACGGATAGCGTGGCAGAGGTCGCCTTGGTCTTGTTGCTCAGTTTGCCCCGAGCAGTTATTGTGTTGAGCGGAATTTTGCCCCCCCCCCCCCCCCCCCCAGAATACGCGGGGCAGCCTGAGCACTCACGCTCAGGAGTGGAATAGCATGGTCGTGGATGCTCAGCGAGGGATTCTCCAGGGGTGCTGGTACCCTCCTGGGGTAGTTTATGATGTAATTCCGCTACCATGTTGATGGGGGGGGGGGGGGGGAATTGGGCCTCCACTTCACGCCAGTATTTTGTGAGGTCATGGTACTAACCCGGCTCGAGCCGGCCCATACGTGCAACAGCAAAAGCTGCTGCGTGGCTCTACCACCGTTAGACTTTACCACTGGTTTGAAATAAAAAGCTCTGTCCTGGGAAGAACCAGCAAAAAACCCACCAGGACTTTTTTTAAAGTAAATTTTACATGAAAGGTTGTACAAACTATTTACAAAATTTATTTTAGAAACAGCTTGGAAGCAACCACCTCATTCCCAGGAGTTTTTATCAACCATGTATTCATTTATAGTATAATAACCTTTATTAAACAGTTCTTGTTTAATACAATATTTAATGATATAACTGGTATTCAGAATTTTAACATTCAGTGTTGTAAATTTAATACATTTAATTTTATTTCTGTTTAAATGTAGATTATTAATCTTAAACCAATGCACTAATTTTGATATAGTATAATTCACTTCTTCACATTTCAAGGATTGATATTTAAGTTTAAAAATCAAGGAAGTATCATCAGCAAATAATACTATATCATGATTATCCCTACAAGGGAAGGTAAGTCAATAATATACACTAGAAATAGTAATACACCAAGAATTGAGCTTTGAGGGACACCCATTAGTACAGGTAACCGGGAAGAACTTTTACCATTAATAATAAGTTTCTGCATTCTATTACTTAAATATGAAATAATAAGTTAAAGCACTGTGTTCTTGACACCATAGTATTGTAGCTTCCTGATTAATGTCTCATGGTGAACACAGTCAGAGGCCTTGGAAAGGTCACAAAATATACCGAAACCATTCTCTGAATTCTCCTATGTACAAAAAATATGTTTAATAAGGTCAACTCCAGCATCAGTTGTCAAGCGACGCCTTGTAAAACCAAATAGATTTTTATTAAGCAATTTATTAATATTAGAAAAGCCTTAACATTGGATCTAAAATTATTTAATCAAAAATTTTACTAAATGTTAATAGTACAGAAATTGGTCTAAAATTGGCAGGATCTAATGTACTACCAGATTTAAATAAAGATATGATTCTGCTATGTTCCATTAAATCAGGAAACACACCAGATTCAATGCTTGTATTAAATATAGTAGCTAGATAAGCTGCTTTTATATCTATTATAGATGAAATAACTTTAACAGAAATCCCCCATAAGTCTGCCGTTCATATCAATAGTTATAAAATATCTTTCGGCAATACTCTATGAAATTTTAAATATATGAAATTTATTACAGATGCTAGCTAGGAATTAAGAGCTTACCTTTTTACAATTTCTTGACCAACTCAAACTGCAAACAGGGTAAACATGTGCTGATATGGATTTAGCAATTCCCCGTGTAAGGAAATCCCATATGAAGATTCTACCATCATTGCACCCAACTGCTAAGAGTGTCCCTCGGCGGTTAAATGCGCATGTTGCAGCCAAGGATATTGAATCCAATGTACCATCGAACTCCTATTAACAAAATATAGTATGTGGTATTAATTTATAAGGTTTGTTTTGAAGTGCTTTGTAACGCATCAAGTGGTGGCATAATAAAGTCCACTACTCCATATAAAGACTTCGGTGTCCTAAGAGTCAAAAATAAAAATGTAGCAGGAGTTGGGTGTCAGTATCTTTCTAATAACAACTCAAAATAATAAAACACTGTGATTGCCAACACGCCTGACAAGTATGGCAACTATGGCAAATATTACTTATGGCATAAGGGGGAACTATGAGGCAATCTAAGGGGGAAGCCTAAGTTTACCAATTGACTTTTGATATCTATAGAACTTTTAATTTTATAGAATAAGGGTGACAAGCAAGCATACAGTCACAGAGTGACACACAGTCACATAAATATCTATGTATATCCTCTATTCAGTTATTCAAAATGCAGACGCAATGTCACCAATGAAGACTAAAATGGAATCCATCATTACCAGTAAAAAGGGTAATTCGAGCCACAGCCGTACATAGCTGCAGTGTGGATCTGCCACGTAACGTGGTAGATGGGCTAAAATGAATGAATATAATACATATACAGTGGTACCTCGACATACGAGTGCCCCAACATAGGAGTTTTTCGTGATACGAGCCGGCGAGGGAGTGATTTTTTGCTTTGATTTACAAGGAAAATTTGAGATACGAGTTTCGGTTTAGCAGGTCTAGAGGTGTAAGAGAGAGACGTGAACAAGCTCGTCGAGGTGCACACCCAGGAACTGACGGCTGAGGAGATACACAGAGTTACAGTCACAGCAGCATGCGGAGGTTATGCAAGAAATTGGTTTCGAGGAGTCAGAGGAGGAGGTTATTTCTACAAGTGAGATAAAGGAGATTTTAGGAATGTGGGAGAGAGTTTCACAGTTCGTGGAACAGAAACACCCAGAAAAAGTTGCAACAGGTAGTGCATCTGATCTTTTTAATGACACTTGCCTAACTCATTTCCGGAACATTCTGAGAGGGAGGAAGAAACAAACCTCCTTGAACATGTTTTTTTCTAAACGGGCTACACGTGAAAGCGAGAAAAATGTAATGAAAAAGGCAAAGACCAGTGAGGATATCTAATTTATTTCTTTAGATTCTCTTTTTTGTTTTTGTACAATAAATATTTGTCATTTATAAATACGTTTTTATTATTCAAAACCACGTAACAAAAATAACTGGGGTGACATTTTGGGGGTTGGAATGGATTAATGGTAGTTCAATTGTTTTGTATGGGGAAATTTGCTTCGAGATACGAGTGATTCAAGATACGAGCAAGATTGCGGAACGAATTAAACTCGTATGTCGAGGTACCACTGTATTGATAGATGTTCTATTCTGTTATGGCAAACAAGTACATCTTGCATTGTAAACAAAAGCTAAAAAAACTATAAATTGCGTATTTCGGAATATGTATTACATATCCTATTTAATTATATTGAATTGTTTTATCCGTATATACACATCTTTCAGTTTGTTACCTATTATAACCATAACCTATAAAAACAAAACTAGACGTTTTAATACAGACACAACAGTACTCACTTCAGGATAATTTTGTCCAAAAGATTCTGAAAAGAAAAATTTATAAATTAGTAATAGAAATTTCCAACATTCAGAGATTTCAAGCTACGAAATAAAGATTTACCAACCTAAAAGCTCTAAGTTCATTTTAAACCGATTTTTACTTTAATAATACTCAAATACAATCACTAAGTTTTAATAATAGCTTAACATTATAGTAAAGTCCATTTAAAATTATTAAGCTTTTTTATTATCAAGTAAATAAATTATTATAAACATATTTAGATATTTTTTTTCGTATATCAACAAAAGTCATATCATGTCATAATCATAAACACATATCAGGGCTACCATCACAAAAATCTAAATTGCCGTAGGTTACAGTCTGTTTTGCCGTATTTTAAATAAAAAAATACTAAATGGTTTTTTAAAATATTTTTAAAATAATTATTTATTTTAAAAATGTCTGTTCCTCATTTGTTTCTTCTCCTCAAAGGTTCTTATCGTTTCTATCACTTCAGATTCATGTTTATCTAGTGATTATTTGTCTCTCCCCAAAGGATTTTAAAAAAATAAATTGCAAAAATTAATTAGAATAAGATGGAGAAATAAACAAAGACCAACCTAGCTTGCTACATATATATTTATCTATGGACCAACCAATCCGCTTGGTTTTGTACTACGTAAATAGTTGAGGTTTTGTATACTGACATTTTACTAACTACTGAAATTTTTCAAATATTTGAATTCAGCTGACTTCACTTCACAGACGCCAGCGCTATTGTGGTAGGTTTTGGAACCCTATTTTCAGTAAATAGTAGGACACTTTTCAAGTTTCGTCCCTTATAAGATGGTTCTCCTTGTAATCTACACTCCATAATAACAAACTAAAAATGTACGGCTTCACAGTATACTGAATTAACGTCACACCTTACAGTGATCACAGTGTGTATCGGAATATACCTTTTGTCTCTGTTTCATTTCACTAGCGAAAAAAAGAAAACGTTTCGTTTCACCTTATGACCGTATTTTGTGATAAGGCAATGAGAGGTGCCGTATGCCATATTTTCTAAAAATAAAGGTGAATTGCTGTATATTACGGCAATTGCCGTATCAATGGCAACGCTAATATATATACAAGAAATTGTAGTCATACACTTTTTCTTACATCTATGTAATACACACAGACTACAAAGAGGATATTATGCATGTCATAAACATAACATAACCATAGATTTAGTATGTATATACTTAGATTGGTAAATTTAAAAGAGAAAGGGCATAGCGTATGCTTATGTTAGAACGAGATAGAATGGTCAGACCATACACGTACACGCTATCAGCCTGTATCAGCCTAACGTCAATGGTTAACGAAACAAATCCCGCTTATTTTCGCGATATTTTTGATTTTGAAGTATTAATAAGTATTTAAAAGGTGTGATTAAATATGGTGACGTGTGCCGTACCTGAATGCAGTTCATCGAGAAAAGAAAATCCACAAAACAACACATTTTACATGTAAGTACAATTAAAATATTTAGCACTCTAAATTCAATATTTCAGAACTAGTATAAATGTTTTATACACAAATGGATAGGAAAAATATCGCATTTTATTACGATAATGCTCTAAATACGTCAGAATTATATTGGAAATAATAATAAATACGTGAATTGCCGCTATTTCTGATCAAATTTTTATAGGGATTGACACTATCAATCTCATCTTATCGATAATATGTTTATAACAGGCAAAGGCATATCCTTGGATGCAGCTTCTTGTGACTTCGTTTTTTTTTTAATTTTCTCTTTTTACGTTTTAGTTTTTCGTAATAGTAAATACGAAGTAGTAGTAAGTATCGGAATCCTCGGATTCGACATATCGAATGACGTGCAGTTTCGTTGTCATTTGGAAGAGAAGGCCAAATTGGCCTCTAAAAAGCAGAGCGGGACATTATTTCATGCCGGCACAACGCTTGCAACTTTACAAGGCGCAGGTTCGGCCTTACATGGAATACTGTTCCCATCTCTGGGCAGGGGCTCCCCAGTGCCAGCTCCTTCCACTAGACCGCATCCAGCGCAGAGTGGCTCGAATCGTCGACGACCGAGTCCTTTCCGATCGGCTCAATTCATTGGCACTGCGAGGAGATGTTGCATCCCTTTGGATTTTCTTTCGCATCTACCACGGGGAGTGCTCTGAGGAATTGTTCGTATTAATCCCAGCCGCCAACGAACGCACATCGCGGCAGAACTCCCGATACCATCCACACCATCTGGATGATTGGCGGTTCACCACTGTGCGATTTAGAAGATGTTTTCTTTCTCGTACGACTTCCTTGTGGAATCGATTACCATCAGCGATTTTTCCGGACCGATACGACTTAGGGACCTTCAAGAAAAGAGCCTACTCCTTTTTAAAAGGCCGGCAACGCATCTGCGATTCCCTACCCGGTGTTGCAGTTGTTCATGGGCGACGGTAGTCACTTACCATCAGGTGAGCTGCATGCTCCTTTCCTATAAAAAAAAATTACGCATTATTGTAAATACTTTAATGAGATGATTTAAACTCTTATAATGTTTCAGATTTCCAAAAATATTCAGGTTAAACAAAAATTGTTAAAAATGATAAATAGAGAAGGATACCCATCCTTCTCTATTTATCATTTTCATGTCATTCCCATGAAAAAATTCAACTACATGTAGCAAGCACTTTGAACAAAAATGTTATTCTCATAGAAGTGTACAAAGAGTAAAGCTGCGTTTTGGAGCAATACCCTTATTATTTATGCCCGTGCGTATTTTCTTAATTATATATTTTACTGTACATATGTTCATTTCGTTTGCGCATGTTCAAACGTGTACAACTTGCTGTTATCCGCGTGGTGTATGTTTTTTTATAAAACAAAAGTAACAAATAAACTTCACTTGATAATAAATAGCTACTGCAATACTTGGTCACCTACAGTCATCCTTAAACAAAGAAAGTTACAGTTTATTTACGTGTTAGAGCCATGCTGCAGCTATGTAAATAATATATTTGTAGCACGAATGGGTCGGCACGACCGGGGAAGGACCACGTTCTCACAGAATACCAGCGTGGCATAGCAGCTTAATGCTGCTGTTTTTCGTATGGTGAGTGTAGAGAACCGGAGACCCTTTTTTCTGGAAAACAGGCATTCTATCTTAGTCCTAACTGCTGACAACGCATCTGCATTTTAATTCGCAAACGAATATAGATGCAGATGTTTATGGGCCACATCAACCACTTACCATCTAGTGGACTGTGTGCTCGTTTGTCACCCTAATTCTATAAAAAAATGTGTATTCACCACAGCGGAGTAAGATAAAGTGTCTTACAACTTATAATTATACAGGCTCTCTATACTCAAATGGCTGGAACGCGGCAGTGTAAGCACTGCTGTTTAGCGGTAAAAATAGGTAAAAGGGTGGTATTTTATTAAATTTAATGATAGATAAGTACATAATGTGTACACTAATTATATTTGTTTGTAGGTTGTATTGAAGCCGGTACGCAAAGCATCGTCATGTGTCTACAGAGATATATTGCCAGTACCCAGTAACTCAATTGCAAACGTTTCTGTTATAGACAATTCCCCGAGAAAAAAAAATGAAGAAAATTATTGATGTTCTTCTTAGATTAGATATGAAACAAAAAAAATAACTGAAAAATGTAAGAGCACAAAAAAACGGGCTAATAAAAAAGTGGAAAAGTTGTATCAAGTGATAAAAAACTTAGAAAGGCTTCCCTCACTTCAAAATAATATTAGTGCTGTAAAAGGATCTAGTTCAAACGATTTGTTGCAGCATCTCATCGAAAGGTTGATTAAGATAAAGTTTATGAGATAGGTATTCGTTCTGAACGAGTTTTCCGAAAACATGTGAAAGGAAAATTGTAAACGAAAATATGTTTCGAATATTAGTAAACGAATGCCTTGTCCTGCAAATTTTTTTTAGCATACTTGACATACATATATACGATTCGTCAGCACTATCAAACCATAAATACTTAATTATTAAATTAAAAATCGAAAATTATTTGATTATTAGATTGAAGTATGGAGCAAAATTGCAAAATACCTCTTAAGGAGAACTTACGACATTTTTATAATATATTAGTTATTTTTCGTGGAAAATAAAAATCACAAACATTTTGTTTGTAGTTTTATTTTTATGCCATCAAACATAATTATATTCAGTTTATGACACAGACACAGTAATCTGTATCGATATTTAAAGTTGATACATGGCGCAGCACTATTGTGGTCGCACACATGCACATTTCACTCAAACGGGTACATTTCAATATTGGTCTCACCCGTAGATAGAGGATTGACTAGATAAAGCATTCGCGTATGCTTTTGAGATAGAAATAGGCGGGAGGTACTTACACTGGGTTACCAGATATTGTTCCATTTCCCCCGTTATGGGTTTATTTATATTCACTTACATTCTTAAAAAAAAACTTAATTGTTACCATAAAAAAATGTTTTTTTATAATTCAGATGATTAATTAATTTCTCTTGAAAATACATTCTGTGACTAAACTACGGGCGGAAACAGCATAAAAACAGAATCATCATTCTGTATTCAACGGCCCATCGACGATTTTACTGGACATTCAATAAACTCTTTGGATTTCGACAGCACTAAGTGAAGACGCTACTAGCACAAAGTGTAATATCGCTAATAAATAGCAATTTGTTATGTATGTACTTAAATATTAATTAAAAATAAAAATATTAAATAATAAACAAAAATTTCCTCGTGTCGAGTTGTTTTTTTACAAAAAAAAATCAATAATGTTTTAACATACCATTCCATTACAAGTTCAGTGCTGAACACAGACCTCCGAAAGGAAAGGGTTTCCACTTAGGTTTTGTAGTACAAAACACGGTTATGAGCTTACTCCCGCGATTTCCTGCAAGTTTTGCTAAGTTAGTGTCTTGTGTGCGGCAAGTTGTGGCGTACAAGAGAATTTGTCTGTACACGGGATGATATTACCACGCGTCGTAAGCAATAATACAAGATGGGGATGGGGCAGCAGCACTTTCCCGATGAAAACTTAAAATAATAAAAAACTGCGGCGGCCAACCAGCATAACGCATATTTTCACGCAGGCGTGGCAACTATGGCAAAAGTCATCCTAGGAGGATATCTTGGGAAGGCCTTTTTAGGTGACTTACTTATGGTCAGGTGGCTTAATAATGTTACCTAATGGTTAAGGTGGTAAAATGTTTTAGTTAATATACGTTGTAAAGCATCAACAAAGGGTTTGTTTTTGTAATATGTTGGTTTATAAAATAAAAACGAATGTTT